AAGGGTTTGGGATGGACAGACAGGGCTTGGGATGGACAGACAGAGTTTGGGATGGACAGAAAGGGTTTGGGATGGACAGACAGGGTTTGGGATGGACATGGTGTGTCCAGCATGGACAGACAGGGCTTGGGATGGACAGACAGAGTTTGGAATGGACAGAAAGGGTTTGGGATGGACAGACAGGGCTTGGGATGGACATGGTGTGTCCGGCATGGACAGAGCTGGGCAGTCCCAGCAGCAGCCACAGCATGTTTTTGGGGCAGGAGGGGGTTTCTGGGGCAGTTTGAGGTTTTTAGGGAGCTGTCACCCCCAGCCTGGGGTGTCTCCTGCTCCCGGGAGGAGCCTCCCGGCACATCCGGCACGACCAGCGGTGGAACCGCCGTGGAATCGTGGGGTGGTTTGGGTTGGGAGGGACCTCGGAGCCCCTCCGGTTCCATTCCTTGCCGTGGGCAGGGACCCCTCCCAGCAGGGCGGGGGTCACATCCCTGCTCGTGGGGGAGAAGCGGAGCTGTGGGATGGGGATGGATGGGCTGGAACCCGCCGCTCTTCCCGACCGTTCATGTTCCGGCACGGCCAAGCTCCTTCCTCCTCTCCCTTTCCTTCTCCCTCTCCTTCCACCTCTGCCTCTCCCTCTCCCTCCTGATCAAAGGGATTTTGTTCCTTTAACACGCAATAAACCCCAACGAGTGCGGATCCGGCTGGAAAACCTCCGGCACGGGACCGTCTGTCCCATCCCTAATTCCCAGTGCTGTTCCCACAGCTTTTTCCTCAGCCAGACCAGAGTGTCCTGTCCCCGTGGATCTGATCCCAGGGAGGTTTAGTCCTGCAGGAAGGGACGTGGCCCCTCTTGGCCTGGGAGTTCTGCAGGGATCATCCCTCCCGCCCTCCTCGGCACGGCCGTGCCCGTCCCGGGATTTGCTCCTGCACGGGAGCCTGTGCTGGGAATGAGGCACAAAAGGTGATGGGAAGTTATTGGAATTGATGGAAAATCATTGATGGGGGTTTACAGGAACTGATAGAAAAGCGGTGACGGAGATTTATTGGAATTGGTGCAAAGGCGCCGGAGGGAATTTATCGGATTCGACGTAAAAGCGGCAGTGGGAATTCACGGGAATTGGGGCAAAAGTGGAAGGGAATGCTCGGCCTTTGGGGCGTGGAAACTGGTAACTGGAAGGTGGAGAAGTTTTCCAGTCCAGCCCCACCTGTGGCTTCTGGTTTTGAACTGGGATATACTGGTCGGAGCGGTTTGCTGAGGCACGAGGGCACTTCTCCCACCTCTTTTCCTACGTTCCCCCTCTTTTCCTGCATCTCCCGCTTTCAGGAATGGCTTCCCACTGCCAGAGGGCAGGGTTGGATGGGATATTGGGAAGAAATCCTTCCCTATGAGGGCGGGGAGGCCCTGGAATGGATTTCCCAGGGGTCGCCCCATTCCTGGAAGGGTCCAAGGCCAGGCTGGACGGGGCTTGGAGCCACCTGGGATAGCGGGAGGTGCGGAACAGGATGATCCTTAAACTCCCTTCCAGCCCAAACCATTCCACGATCCCTCACCCCCTGGAAGAGTTTGGTGCAGGGCAGGTGCTCGGTCCCCGCTTCCCGGGTGGAACGAGCCCCTGTATCCCCCTTTTTGCCAGGCACAAAACCCTCCCAAGTCCATTCCCTCCCGCCCCGGGCTCTGTGCCCTGGAAAGGACGTGCAGGGGGATTAACAAGGCTCGGCTTTTCCTGCCCCGAGGTCCCGGCGCCGTCAGACTTTGCTGGGACCGGTTTTACCCTCACCACTTCTGCCTAACGAGCCTCAAATCCTTCCCAACGACTTTCCCTCCTCGCCGGGGTTAACCGGGATCAGCCGGAGCCTGAGGCGATGGAGCGGGCAGGGATCACTCCGGGATGATCCTGGGGGGATGGGGCGGGCAGGGATCACTCCGGGATGATCCTGGGGGGATGGGGCGGGCAGGGATCACTCCGGGATGATCCTGGGGGGATGGAGCAGGCAGGGATCACTCCGGGATGATCCTGGGGGGATGGAGCAGGCAGGGATCACTCCGGGATGATCCTGGGGCGATGGAGCGGGCAGGGATCACTCCGGGATGATCCTGGGGGTATTGGGGCGGGCAGGGATCATCTCGATTTATCCCTGGGGGGAGGGGAGCGAGCAGGCAGGGATCACTCCGGGATGATCCTGGGGGGATGGAGCAGGCAGGGATCACTCCGGGATGATCCTGATCCTGGGGCGATGGAGCGGGCAGGGATCACTCCGGGATGATCCCGCGGGGATGGAGCGGGCAGGGATCACTCTGGGATGATCCTGTGGGGATGGAGCAGGCAGGGATCACTCTGGGATGATCCTGTGGGGATGGAGCAGGCAGGGATCACTCTGGGATGATCCTGTGGGGATGGAGCGGGCAGGGATCACTCCGGGATGATCCCGCGGGGATGGAGCGGGCAGGGATCACTCCGGGATGATCCCGCGGGGATGGAGCGGGCAGGGATCACTCCGGGATGATCCTGTGGGGATGGAGCAGGCAGGGATCACTCCGGGATGATCCCGCGGGGATGGAGCAGGCAGGGATCACTCTGGGGTGATCCTGAGGTGATGGAGTGGGCAGGGATCACTCTGGAATGATCCTGGGGGGATGGGGCAGGCAGGGATCACTCTGGAATGATCCTGGGGGGATGGGGCAGGCAGGGATCACTCTGGGATGATCCTGTGGGGATGGAGCAGGCAGGGATCACTCCGGGATGATCCTGTGGGGATGGAGCAGGCAGGGATCACTCCGGGGTGATCCTGTGGGGATGGAGCGGGCAGGGATCACTCCGGGGTGATCCTGGGGGGATGGAGCGGGCAGGGATCACTCTGGGGTGATCCTGGGGGGATGGGGCAGGCAGGGATCACTCCAGGATGATCCTGTGGGGATGGAGCAGGCAGGGATCACTCTGGGGTGATCCTGAGGTGATGGAGCAGGCAGGGATCACTCCGGGATGATCCCGCGGGGATGGAGCAGGCAGGGATCACTCCAGCTGCCACCCTGACCCCCCCATCTCTGCTCTCCTGCTCTCACCTGTGGGTCTGGGCAGCCCCCTCCTGCCAGGGGACTCTCAAGGGGGTCTGATGTCCCTGCTCGCTGCCTTTTGGATTTCAGGGTTTGGATCCAAGAGGAAATTCCCGCTGGATTTTCCCAGTGTGTCCTGCTCTGCCTGCCCAGCAGAGCCACTGGGACAGGGATGGTGCCAGTGGGGACAGAAGCAGCCTCAGCCAGAGGCTGGGAGGAGAGTATTCCCTAAAAAACACGGGGTCGGAGCCAGGAGCAGGGAGCCAGGCGCTGGGGAACTGGGAGCACCAGGATCAGGGGGCTGGGAGCCCCAGGATCGGGATACTGGGAGCATTGGCATGGGGGACTGGGAGTCCCAGCATCGGGATACTGGGAGCCCCAGCATCGGGATACTGGGAGCCCCAGCACTGGGATACTGGGAGCCCCAGCACTGGGATACTGGGAGCCCCAGCACTGGGATACTGGGAGCCCAGCAACTGGAACTGGAGCACCAGGGGATCCTGGGAGCCCCACAGCGGGATACTGGGAGCCCCAGCACTGGGATACTGGGAGCCTGGGAGCACTGGGATACTGGGAGCATGGGGGACTGGGAGTCCCAGCATCGGGATACTGGGAACCCCAGCACTGGGATACTGGGAGCCCCAGCATCAGGATACTGGGAGCCCCAGCACTGGGATACTGGGAGCCCCAGCACTGGGATACTGGGAGCCCAGCACTGGGATACTGGGAGCCCCAGCACTGGGATACTGGCAGCCCCAGCACTGGGATACTGGGAGCCCCGGCTGCGACCAGCCCAGCTCCCAGATCCCTCTCCCATCTCCGTCTGCTGCCCGGTCCTGCCGGAGGGGAGCCACGGGCTCTTCCCACACTCTCACTTTCCCTGTGCCTCTGGTTTCCAGCTCCTCAATCAGTCCCGTTTCTCCCCCTCGCGGGGCTTCCCTCCTGCCGTCCCTTTGCCTCTTTTTTTTTGGGGATTTGGAAGCAGCTTCGGGCGGCAGCTCTGGACGTGCTCAGGGGAGGCACCGTATTTTCCACAGCGGGTTTTGGACTCGCCGACGGGCTCTGGTGTCTCTCCAGCTCCAGCCGGAGCTGCTTTTCTATCCCAGTCATCCCGTCTGTCCCAGCCATCCCGTCTGTCTGTCCCAGCCATCCCGTCTGTCTGTCCCAGCCATCCCGTCTGTCCCAGCCATCCCGTCTCCCCCTCGCTCACACCACTGGTGCTGTTTAAAGTGGAACCGTCTCCATGCCCCGGCACTCCCAGACCCCCCCCCCACCCCGTTCCTGGGGACACCCGGGGATCCCCCGAGAGGATTTTGGACTCGCCAACAGGTTCTGGTTTCTCTCCAGCTCCCACTGGAGCTGCTTTTCTATCCCAGCCATCCCGTCTCTCCCAGCCATCCCACTCCCCCCCTCGCTCACACCACTGTGATGGTATTTAAAGCAGAGCTGTCTTGGCACCCCGGCACTGCCAGACCCCCGTGCCTGGGAGGATTTTGGACTCGCTGACAGACTCCGGTGTCTCTCCAGCTCCAACCGGAGCTGCTTTTCTATCCCAGTCATCCCAGCTCCCCCTCGGCTCACACCAGCCTGGGGCCATTTGAACTGGAGCTGTCTGGGCGCCCCAGCACTCCCGGGCTCCCACGTCTGGGGGCACCCGGGTGTCCCCTGAGTGGATTTTGCACTCTCTGACAGACTCCGGTGTCTCTCCAGCTCCAGACGGAGCTGCTTTTGTGTCCCAGTCATCCCGTCTATCCCAGTCTCCCCACTGCCCCTCGGCTCACACCGGTGTGGTGCATTTAAAGCAGAGCTGTCTCGGTGCCTCTTGCACTCCCAGACCCCCAAGCCTGCGGGGTCCCCTGGGAGGATTTTGGACTCCGGTGTCTCTCCAGCTCCAACCAGAGCTGCTTTTCTATCCCAGTCACCCCACTCCCCCTCGGCTCACCCCGGCGCGATGCCATTTAAACCGGACCCGTCTCGGCGCTCCGGCACTGCCGGACCCCCCAATTCCTGGGCAACGCATCCCGCACCCTCCCCCGCATCCCCCCCTTCCCCCGAGCACCCCACTCACCAGCTTCCTCTGGTTGCTGAGGCAGAAAGTGCAGATCTGTTTGGGCTGGGAGCTGTCGGGGTCCCGCGCCGGGGGGCTGCCGCCTCCTCCACCTCCTCCTCCACCTCCCCCGGCGTGCGGGAAGAAGGCGGGCGTGGTGTGGCACGGCTGCCCGTCGCCGCACGCCTCGCCCACCAGCAGCACGTTGCCCAGGTGGGAGATGTAGCTGGAGGCCAGGCGCAGGGTCTCGATCTTGGAGAGCTTCCTGTCGGCCGGCTCGGTGGGGATGAGGGTGCGCAGCGCGGTGAAGGCGGTGTTGACGCTGTTGGTGCGGTCGCGCTCCCGCGCGTTCGCCGTGTGCCTCTGCCGCGGCTCCCGCGACAGCCGCGCCGCCGCCGCCGCCTTCTTGGCCCCGCGCCGCTTGCCCGCCTTCAGCGCGTAGCCCTCGGCGTCCAGGTGGAAGGGCTTCTCGTCCGAGCCCGAGCTCTCGCTGCCGTTCTCCTCGTCCTCCGACAGCATGCTGATCTCGGGGTACAGGTAGCGGCTGGGCGCCGAGCGCAGCATGGCGAAGGACATGGTTGGGGCGAGCCTCGGCTCTCCTCCGGCCGTTCTGGGGGGTGTCCTGGGCGCTGCGCTGCTCGGGGGGGGGTCCCCGCCGGGCTCGGGGAGGGGGGTTCGGGGCCGGCCCGCCCGCTCCCCGCGCGCACGGGCACGGTGCGCGCCCAGCCTGGCAGAGCCGGCTTTTATAGCGGCGGGGAGCCGGGTTTTGTGAGGCGGCACTGGTCAGCCAGGCCCCTCCTCCGGCTCGAGGGGAGCCCCAGGCTCAGCCTACCTGAGCTCACCCTCCGGCGGGGATTTAACTCTTCCGGGCTCGGCCGGGCCCGCGGGGGTCCCGCCGAGCTCCTGCCAACAACTCGCCGTCTGCGCCGGGGCTTTCCGCTCCTCCCGCTTTTCCGTTTGTCTCATCTCTCCCCAAGAGCTGTTTTCCTCCTAAATCTGTGTCCCGATCCCGGACCGCGCTCGGCACGGGGGGCCGGGGCTCACCCGGGTCAGCCCGGCACACTTGGCACCGTCCCGGCACGGCCCGGGTGGGCACAGCACTGCCGGGGGGGCTCCTGGGGGTCCCTGCAGCCCCTCGAGGAGCAGGATGAGCCCCTGGAGCTGAGGGAGGAGGTTGGTCCAGCATTCCCGGTGTCCCCACCGTGTCCTTTTCCACGGTGCTCCCGGCCCCGAGCCGGTACCTGCATCCCAAAACCAGCACGTTGCCCCAGGGCAATGACAAGTGGGATGGATCCCTGGGTGTCCCTGGGCTCTCCCAGAGGACCCTCCGTGCTGGGGTGGGACTGGTGGCCGTGTCCCTCCCCTGACCCTGTTCCCGTGGGATTCCTGGTCCCTCCCCTGACCCCGTTCCCATGGGATTCCTGGACACTTCGTGCCCGGGCCAGGGGCTCCTGCTCAGGATGAATCCCAGCCAGGGAGCCCCCAGAGCCCCCTCCCCTTCCCAGCATGACGGAATCCATCCTGCTGCTGCTCCTGCTGCTGCTCCTGCGGCTGCTAATGGGGCAGAGAGGGAGGAATTAACCCTTGAGGGGCCGCCCGAGCTCCAGGGCTCGCCTGGATTTGCTTGAGTTCCCTGCCCAGGTATCAGGGATGGAATTTGGGTCCTGTGTGCTGAGCCCAGTCCTGTCCCTGTGTCCTGTCCCCCATCCCTGTGTCCTGCTGGCCATGCCAGGGTTGCCATGGACACCTTCCACTCGCCCAGGTTGCTCCGAGCCCCATCCAACCTGGCCTTGGACATTTCCAGGGATGGAGCAGCCACAGCTTCTCTGGGAATTCCATCCCCGTCCCTCACCACCCTCTCACACAGGAATCCCTTCCCACTATCCCACCTAACCCTGGGAAGCCATTCCCTGGGTGCTGTCCCTCCAGCCCTTGGCCCCAGTCCCTCTCCAGCTCTCCTGGAGCCCCTTCAGGCCCTGGAAGGGGCTCCAAGGTCTCCCTGGATCCTTCCCTTCTCCAGGTGAACATTCCCAGCTCTCCCAGCCTGGCTCCAGAGCAGAGGGGCTCCAGCCCTGGGAGCATCTTCCTCACCCTTCATTTGGCCCCGGTGATGACCATCAGCCTCCTCCTCTTCCTCTGGGCCCTGGAATCCCCCCAGCATCCCAGGCCACCAAGGTGTGGGGCCGAGATCCCACACCCACTCCGGCTCCAGGGAAAACCTGTGGATCCCTCCCCACTCTGGAGCTCTGGGGAGTTCTCTCAGCTCGGGGCTTCCTTATCCCAACCCCAACCCTGGGCACAGCGGGAATGTGTGCCCTCCTCTCCGTGCCTTTGCCCGGTGTGGGTGAGCAGCACCTTAACCTGGATGGAGACGGGAATTGCCGTTTGCTGGGAAGTCTCTGCTCCCGGGAGCTCCGTGCGGGGGGTTGTCGCTCCCAGCCGGAATTCCGCACCTTCCCCGTGTGCTCCCACAGTTAATCCATGTCTCAGCAGCTTCCGAAATCCAGCCCACTGTCATCCCCTTGCCGGGCCGGGCGCTCTCCGTGTGTGCTTTGGAAGCCCCGGCTCCCGGAGCATCTGCTTTCGTTTAGCTCCGCTAATGATCCCGCTTTTCTCCAGCACCTTCCATCCCGCTGCCATTCCCGGGCGCTCTCCCTGCTGTCCTTCTTGGGCAGAGGCACATCCGTCTGGATCCTCCGGAGCTCCTCACACCGGGATGGGGGAGCAGGTCCCTGGGCCGGTGACCCTCAGCCCTGGGTCGGGCCAGAGCTCCGGACCCGGCGCTGGCTCGGGAATTCTGAAATAGGGATTTGGGGCTGGAGCAGCCTCCCAGCCCCTGACTCTGCAGCTTCCCCTGCTTCCCAGAGAGCTTCCAGGATGTCCCACTTTGGGCATCACTTCCCAGCCCTGGCAGGGCAGCAGAGCCTGGGGTAGGAGCTTTCTCCCAGAGAGGCCAATCCTGGAATTCCTCGCTGTGATCCGTCCCCTGCTTTAGGACCTGGCCTGGCCTGTGGAGTGGGGAGGACTCACTCCCGTTCCCTGCTCCAAGGCTCTCCTGATCCCTTTGGATCCTGCCTCTCCCCATCTTCAAATCCCCCCTCCCTGCTGACAACCCTGCAGAGCGGGGGGTGCTTGGGATGACATTCCCGACTCCGCGGAGTTCCCGGGGTTTGTGCCGGACCCTCTGGGATCCCACTCCTATGGGAAGCACTGCCGGGGGCACAGAGACCCCCCCAGGGCTGCTTGGTCACCTCGGGGGGGGCTCCGGAGGTGTCCCCGTGCCGGGATCCCAGGGATCCCCAGCGCCCCGGGAACGCCGGGCTGGGGGCGGGAGAGCCGCGCTTGCCCCGTCCCCTTTTCCCCTCCACGTGGACCGGATATTTTCAAGGGAAGAATCTTTCCTACGGGGCTCTCCGGCTGCCAGGAATGTGCGTCTAGGAATGCCCAGGGCCCATCCAAGAACAACTTCCAGACGCGCGGCTGAGTGACGGCAGCGCCGGGCGAGCTGGGACCGCGGGGGCGGCGAGGGGGCTGCGGGGAGGGGGCTGCGGGAGCCGCTGGAGCGGGATCTGCTGGAGCGGGAGCCGCTGGAGCGGGACCCGCCCGGGGGAGCTGCCCGGGAAACGCGGCACGGCAGGGATCGATCCCGGCACGGCAGGGATCGATCCCGGCACGGCAGGGATGGATCCCGGCACGGCAGGGATGGATCCCGGCACAGCAGGGATGGATCCCGGCACGGCAGGGATTGATCCTGGCACGGCAGGGATTGATCCCGGCACGGCGCGAACGCGGCAAGGATTGATCCCGGCACGGCATGGATGAGCTCCGGCAACGCAGGGAGCATCTGGGCACGGCAGGATGGATTCCCGTCACGGCAGGGTGGATCCCGGCCGACAGGATGGAGCCGGCACGGCAGGGATCGATCCCGGCACGGCAGGGATGGATCCCGGCACGGCAGGGATGGATCCCGGCACAGCAGGGATGGATCCCGGCACGGCAGGGATTGATCCTGGCACGGCAGGGATTGATCCCGGCACGGCAGGGATGGATCCCGGCACGGCAGGGATTGATCCCGGCTCTGTGCCGGCGGGGGGGGGGGATCCCGCTGATGGGTGGATGTGGATCCTGCTGTTTTGGGGATGTGGATCCCGCTGATGGGTGGATGTGGATCCTGCTGTTTTGGGGGTGTGGATCCCGCTGATGGGGGGATGTGGATCCTGCTGTTTTGGGGATGTGGATCCCGCTGATGGGGGATGTGGATCTCATTGCTGAGGGGATGTGGATCCCACTGATGAGGGGATGTGGATCCCACTGTTAAAGGGGATGTGGATCCCACTGCTGAGGGGATGTGGATCCCACTGCTGAGGGGATGTGGATCCCGCTGATGGGGGATGTAGATCCCACTGCTGAGGGGATGTGGATCCCACTGTTGAGGGGATGTGGATCCCACTGCTGAGGGGATGTGGATCCCGCTGATGGGGGATGTAGATCCCACTGCTGAGGGGATGTGGATCCCACTGTTGAGGGGATGTGGATCCCACTGTTGAGGGGATGTGGATCCCACTGCTGAGGGGATGTGGATCCCACTGCTGAGGGGATGTGGATCCCACTGCTGAGGGGATGTGGATCCCACTGCTGAGGGGATGTGGATCCTACTGTTGAAGGGATGTGGATCCCACTGATGTGAGGATGTGGATCCCACTGCTGAGGGGATGTGGATCCCACTGTTGAGGGGATGTGGATCCCGCTGATGGGGGATGTAGATCCCACTGCTGAGGGGATGTGGATCCCACTGTTGAGGGGATGTGGATCCCACTGTTGAGGGGATGTGGATCCCACTGTTGAGGGGATGTGGATCCCACTGCTGAGGGGATGTGGATCCCACTGATGAGGGGATCTACTCCACTGATGGAGCAGGATGTGGATCCCACTGCTGTGGGGACATGGATCCAACTGCTGAGGTGGGACATGGATCCCATTACTGGGGAGAGACGTCCCTTTCTCCTCATCCCGAGGGGCAGCCCCTGCCCCCAGCCCCTGTCCCCCCCTGCTCCCGAACCATTCCCGTTCATCCAGCTGTTTGCTCTGCTCCCACGGGGGGGTTTGGAGCTACAGGGCACAGGCAGAGCAATTCCAGGGATGGGGCAGCCACAGCTGCTCTGGGCAACCCATGCCGGGATCTCACCACCCTCCAAGGGAAAAATCCCTTCCCAATATCCCACCTAACCCTGGGAAGCCATTCCCTGTGTCCTGTCCTTCCAGCCCTTGTCCGCAGTCCCTCTCCAGCTCTCCTGGAGCCCCTTCAGGCCCTGGGAGGGGCTCTCAGGTCTCCCTGACACCTCTCCCCTCTGCTCCCCTCCAGGACATCCGTAACACGGTGGGAAACATCCCCATGGAGTGGTACCAGGACTTCCCACACATCGGCTACAACCTGGATGGCAAGAAGATCTACAAACCCATCCGGAACAAGGACGAGCTGGACATGTTCCTGGAGAAGATGGAGAACCCTGACTACTGGTGAGAACCTCGGGGAGGTGTCCAAGGCCAGGCTGGACAGGGCTTGGAGCACCCTGGGACAGCGGGAGCTGTCCCTGCCCACGGCAGGGGGTTGGGAATGGATGATCCCCAAGTCCCTCCCACCCCAAACCGTTCCAGGAAGGCCGTGTTTGGACACCCCTCTCCCAGGAGGGATGGGCGTCCACACCAGGGCTTGAAACCCTCCCCTGGTTCCCTGGAGTGTCGTCTGGGGACCCCTGAGGTTCTCCTGGTGTCACTCCACGGATGTGTGGCTTTGGGAGAGCGAGGGGGGTCCCACCCGGCACAGCCTTTCCATCTCATCCCTGCCTCAGCTTCCCTGGGCTGTTCCTGCCAGGAGGATGGAGCAGGACAGTCCCTGGTGCAGGGCAGTCCCTGGTGCAGGACAGTCCCTGCCTCACCCTCCCCGTGCCATTCCCATTCCTGCCAGGAGGATGGAGCAGAGCAGTCCCTGGTGCAGGACAGTCCCTGGTGCAGGACAGTCCCTGCCTCACCCTTCTCACCCTCCCTGTGCCATTCCCATTCCCGTTCCCGTTCCCGTTCCTGCAGGAGGACGGTGCAGGACAGACAGTCCCTGGTGCAGGACAGTCCCTACCTCACCCTCCTCACCCTCCCCGTGCCGTTCCCATTCCTGCTCCCGTTCCCGTTCCCACAGGAGGATGGTGCAGGACAGTCCCTGGTGCAGGACAGACAGTCCCTGGTGCAGGACAGACAGTCCCTGGTGCAGGACAGTCTCTGCCTCACCCTCCCCATTCCCGTTCCCATTCCCGCAGGAGGACAGTGCAGGACAGACAGTCCCTGGTGCAGGACAGTCCCTGGTGCAGGACAGTCCCTGCCTCACCCTCCTCACCCTCCCCATTCCCGTTCCCGCAGGAGGACGGTGCAGGACAGACAGTCCCTGGTGCAGGACAGTCCCTGCCTCACCCTTCTCACCCTCCCCGTTCCCATTCCCGTTCCCGTTTCCATTCCCATTCCCGCTCCCGCTCCCGCAGGAGGACGGTGCAGGACAGACAGTCCCTGGTGCAGGACAGTCCCTGGTGCAGGACAGTCCCTGCCTCACCCTCCTCACCCTCCCTGTTCCCGCTCCCGTTCCCACAGGAGGACGGTGCAGGACAGTCCCTGGTGCAGGACAGACAGTCCCTGCCTCACCCTCCTCACCCTCCCCATTCCCGCTCCCGTTCCCGCAGGAGGACGGTGCAGGACAGACAGTCCCTGGTGCAGGACAGTCCCTGCCTCACCCTCCTCACCCTCCCCGTTCCCATTCCCGTGCCTGTTCCCCCAGGAGGACGGTGCAGGACAGTCCCTGGTGCAGGACAGCCCCTGCCTCACCCTCCTCACCCTCCCCATTCCCGTTCCCATTCCCATTCCCACAGGAGGACGGTGCAGGACAGCCAGTCTTTGGTGCAGGACAGCCCCTGCCTCACCCTCCTCACCATTCCCGTTCCCGTTTCCATTCCCATTCCCACTCCCGTTCCCGCAGGAGGACGGTGCAGGACAGACAGTCCCTGGTGCAGGACAGTCCCTGCCTCACCCTCCTCACCCTCCCCATTCCCGTTCCCACAGGAGGACGGTGCAGGACAGTCCCTGGTGCAGGACAGTTCCTGGTGCAGGACAGTCCCTGCCTCACCCTCCTCACCCTCCCCGTTCCCATTCCCGTTCCCGTTTCCATTCCCATTCCCTTTCCCGTTCCCGCAGGAGGACGGTGCAGGACAGGCTGACGGGGGCGGACGTGAAGCTGACGGACGAGCAGGTGGAGCTGGTGCAGCGCCTGCAGAAGGGGCAGTTTGGGGACGTCAACTTCGACCCCTACGAGGTGAGGCCGTGGCTGCTCCCCCTCCCCGGGGGTGGGGCAGGGGGGGTCCCGGCTGCCCCCTCCCTCCCTCCCTCCCTCCCTCACCGCTCCGTGTGTCCCCCCAGCCGGCCGTGGACTTCTTCACCCACGAGGTCATGATCCACCCGGTGACCAACCGCCCCGCCGACAAGAGGAGCTTCATCCCCTCCCTCATCGAGAAGGAGAAGGTCAGGGAGGGTCCTGCTCCCCCAGTCCTGTGCCCAGCAGCACCATTTCCA